GAGAGAGAGAGAGAGAGAGAGAGAGTGAGAAAGAGAGAGAGACAGAGAGAGCAACCCACACACACAACAGAAACATTTTCACTTACCGACAAGCCTAAAGTTTCGAGTGTAAGGTCAGCAACAACTCCCCTTGTCAACAGTGAGTGTTTGTGGACCCTGTTCACTGCTGTAATTCTTATTTCCGACTTCAATCATAATCAGCGTCGACAGAGCTTTTCGAAACACAAAGGCGACGAAGCTAAAAATAGCGACACATCGCTTACGTAACGGGAATTCCCAAACCACACAGCGAGGACGAGGCACCAAAGATTCTCTCTTGGCCTACTATTAGTAGAGAATCTTTGAGGGCATGGCCTCTCCACTCCAAGAATAGCCATTACCGCACGGTCTAATGACTTCGGGGAAGGTGGGTGAAGGTGAATGGGTCGTAGGCCAGACGCTCAAAATAGTATATATTACGAACGTATAGGTCGTAGATCTAGGCGTGACAGACAGAGGTACTTCCTGCGACCCGTGGGGATTGGCGGTGGTTCCAGGCCAACAAGCATGTCAACCGTGACTCATTGGGATTTTGTGAAGACATTCGCAGCGGATATTGTGTTCGTTTTAGTAAGACTTTTACTGAGCTCGCAACTGCATGAGGTCATATGAGCGCCAGAAGATTAGAGGTGTTACAAGAGAGTAACAAACATAAAAAAGAAGGGGAGATAAGGATGATAGATGTTTGATAGGAAAGAAGAAGCAAACCACACCAGAGCACTCGCCAACCACCCACATATACGTTTGTTTTTAATAAGAGTTTATGGCGATCAATGTTTGATACGAAAGAAGGAACAAAACCACAGCAGAGCACCCGCTTCCCAAAAGGGATAACTAGCCTGAGGAATGTTTGTTTTGTTTTAGTTTAAGTAGAGGTTTTACGACGCTCGCAACTGCTGTTTTAGTTTTGGTAGAGGTTTTACGGCACTCGCAACTGCATAAGGTCATATTATGAACGCCAGAAGATTAGAGGTATTACAAGAGAGTAACAAACATAAAAATGAAGAAGGGTGAGATAAGGACGATAGACGTTTCATAGGTAAGAAGAAGCAAACCACACCAGAGCATCCGAAAACCACCACCAAGTGAAATGTATAATTGTTCTTCTTGTGGATACAGCTATAATTAGTGACGAGATCTATTTTAGTTTTAGAACTGCACTAAAAAGTGTGTTGAAAATGAAAAGGCAGATTCTAGTTACAGACGCCGTGAATTACGTAATGTATATTCGGTCATGTCGTTCCTGATGTTTACGTTGACACGGGCGTGATTACGGACAGATAACAACAACAACAACAACGATAAAGATGATGGTGATAATAATAATAATAATAATAATAAAAAATAACAACAACAACAACAACAACAATAATCATCATAATAATCATAATAACAATGATGATGACGATGACGATGATGATGAGGGGGCCCTCGTGGCTTCGAGGTTAAAGTGTTTGCTCTCATTCAATAGGTCCAGTTTGAATCCGGATAGCGACGGAAAAATTTATTGACAAAACTGTCTTCTTTCACATCCTTTCCAGCTCTCTAGCCCCGTTCTGTCGTCTGCTTTCGTCTCCACTTTCTGCCCCCACCCCCCTCACCTCATTTTCCCCCTCCTCTGCAGCTTTTCTACTGCTACTCCTTGGCTCCTCCTTACTGCTGCCTTTCGGCCACACCCCTGATCTTATGGTAGGACAGATCTACACCTAGCCTTCCCGGAAAAGGGCGAACAATTCCGGAGGTCCGGTGTGCAAGTTGCGCACGTTAAAGATCCCTTGATGGTCTAAAATCGATAAGAGTAGGCTTCGGCCGCCACCCGGGCAAAATTCAAAATTTCCTATCAACCGAAAATGGATAATGTGTCCTGCGCGCTCATATGACCTTATGCAGTTGTGAGCGTCGTAAAGCACTTACCAAAAAAAAAAAGAAAAAAAAAGATGATGATGATGATGATGATAGCAACAACAATCAGTAATAATCATTAATACAAAGAATGCAAGCACCATACGGTTCCAATAAGTAAGAATCGTTTCTCCCCCTCCTCTCTTTCAAATGACTGAGAAAAGACATACCCACAAAACAAAACAAGCAACCCGCCTTCCCC